GGAGTTGATGGAAGCTCTGCGAGCGTTGATTTCAAAAGACGATTCTGCGATAGCATGGGCTAAGCGTAAGGATGCCCTTTGCTTTGTCAGGTTCGTGGTGGATCGTATCGACACTGCCTGGTTTTGGGAGAATGTATAAAGATCATTCGGCAAAAGGGAGTTGATTGCGAAAGGAACTTCCTTAGGGCACTCCTGGAACTATATCAGGACATGCCGTTGACTGTATCAAATAAGGAGTCGAATGACATGGAGAGCTATCGTAAGTTGGAAGAGGTGAGAAGATATTCCAACAAAAAATTGAAAGTGAGCCGGGAGTTGATTGAAGTAGTCAAAGGACAAAAAGAGTTTGCAACACTAGAGAAACTGAAGTCGTTCCAATATGTGTCTGGCATACCGGGGATGGCGTATAATCCCTTCGTGAATGAAGAAGCCAGGGAAGCGTACTTCGACTATGAGCAAGTCATAGTACTCAATTTCTGGGTTGAACGTATTAAAGAAACTGGAATGCTGATGGTGGAACAACCCAAGCTGGGAATTATCTTGGAAGAACGAGTGGTCGAACCCTCGGTTCCCGAGCTAAAGGGGCAAGTGAATTTTGATTGTGGTTCTTGGGACGGTCCCTTGAAAACCAGTCTAGTGACGATGTGGGAACTCATGAAGCCTTCTTGGTGTCCTCATCCTAACGCCGGTTTAATCTGGGACATGACGGCGGACATCACGTTAGACCTGGATGATGACGCGAGTTTGCATGATCTGGCCATGATACATCATCTACTGGCCATGAGGTTGACGAAGCGGAAAAGCAACCCATCCACGGAGCTGTCCGAGGAAGGTCCATCGAGCAATTGGTTGAAGCAAGGCACATGCTTGGCTCAACATAGTGGGATGGAAGGACATGTTTGTAACCTGGGACACTGCCTGGTTACGCTGAGCGAGCAGCATCGGCAACTGGCACGATTGTACGGAAGATTGAGCATGTCGGATAAGAGTGGTATGGAGTTGGTCGCGGACTGTCATGGGGTGACGGATGTAAACTTGATCACAGCCTTGGGATTTTGTCGCATGACGAGTTCGATTGAATCGCTTGAGCGCCTGGAGCGTGCCCATGAGCTAGTGACGTCCCTCAGCGTGGAAGTATTCCCTGGAGCATTGCAAACGGAGCAGAAGATCGGAGGCTGGAGAGAAGCTCAGGAGAACGAGATGAATCTGAAAGATAGTGAGGCCTATCATAAACCGACTGGTTCAAAATATCTGGTGGGTTCAAGCTCCGCACCATATTGCAGTAGTAGATATCCTACACACATGGTGGTGATGGATGCAAGGACACAGCAGGTGTTGATTGACCAACTTTTCTCTGTGCCGAAGTGCGTAAGGTTGGCAAGAATGTCGGAGAGGTCATATGATTTGTTGGCAAAGATCTTTCGGGCAGTCTCGAAGAGATCTGAAGGCGAGTTACAAGACGTAGTGGGTGAAGAGTTTCTGAGGTTAAACGAAGGCAATGTGAGTGAGTTTCAGAAGCAGAAAGCGAGTGGAGCGTTACCCACTGAATTCCCCACCATAGAAGAGAAAGACGACTTACACAGAATTCTGATGGAGGTGGAACCGTTGCTGGGAGCCTCAGGGTATCGGACCCGAAGGAACATAGTGAGAACCCATGGGGAGTATCCTTGCCACTGCTTGGCGCAGACGTTGTGGTACCCCAAACGCGGGAATCTGATGCTAGTATGGGACGTGGAGGAGTTGTACTCTACAGGGTTGCCCGATCAGAGTCAACAGGTGTCAATCGTGGTGGTTAGTGCCATGCTGGCGGTGAGATGGCTGGAAGCTAATGCGGACACAAGTGAACAGGAGACGGCTGTGCCGACTCCTGAACAGCTGAGCAACGTGAAGATGAGTCATGAATTGGATCTTTTCAGAACCACCTGCAAGGTTCTGAGAATACCTAAAGCCATTGAAAGAATATGGTCAAGGCAAACATTGATGCCTTGATTCCGTGCAGTGATGACATCATGGATGTATGAACGCGCGAAGCGTCACATGTCGAGGAACACGGAAGCCTATCAATCTTTCCAGCTAGATATAGGACCAGGAGCCTATAAGAGAGCATTCCTGACGCACAGAAACGCGGTCACCACGGCGGTGAAGCGAGTAGCTGGAGCGCCTTGTGTAACTGTAGATGAGAGGAAAGAGGTCTTAAGAGCTGACCTAGAACGAAACGTGAGCCTGTGTCTTCACAACAGCTTTTGCAGGAACCGGGAGCAAAAGGTGAATGTTGACTTGCTACCTTGTTGCAAACCGAGGCTGTTGGAACAGGAGAGTTGGGGCACGGCCCGCAACTCCATGGACATGCTGGAGAAAGTATTGGAAGAAAGCGAAGCTGAAGATCAAGATGGAGAAGTGATGGAATGAAGATGAACAAAGAAGAGAAGAGAAGGAGAGAAAACTTGATTGTCTTTGTGTGCTAAAACTTGAACCAATCAACCAAGTTTTGATTATTGAACTTGTTAAACTTTTTGTTTTGATTTAGTTTGGTCAAACCAAACTTTGAAAATTGTTACAATTGTTAAATTGTTGAAAAAGAAATTTTAGTTAGACTATTTATGTATGTATGTATAGAACATAGGTGAGTATATTTACCTATTTAAACACGATTGAAGTTTTTAACCTGTGTAAGACACAATTTCACTGTGTGGCGACATGGTAAGATTGAGTAAACTCGCTCGAGAAGGGTGGGTAACTCAATAACTTGCCACAGAGTTTCTTAGTTTTAATATTGAAAGGACCGCATATATAACTGAATATACTTGGTGAGTGACGATTAAGTTAATTTTAACGGGTGCGTGGCCGTGCCACGTCCCACTTTTTAATCACAAAGAGCGAAAAGAAATTTTATGGCAAGACGACGTAAGTAGTCAGAAAAGAAACTTTATCTAGGACACTCCTCATGGTGCAAATTTTGTGAAAATGTTGAAAGGCAGTGAAATGTAGTACGATACCATTTGTGAACACGTAGTGAGTTAGGGTGGAGTAGATAAATTTCATTTTCCTATGCGATTTGTAAGATTGATTACAGAAAACTGGAACTCTACTTGACGATAACCCGGTGTTATGCGCTCAATAGGGACATTGATGGGGACTGTCCGGGGAGTATGTGCCATTCTGCCAGATGGCACAGCGCAACCTTCCGACGAAGCACGAATCAGAGAGAAAAGGCCTTAACAGCAAAAAAGTGCTTGAAAGGAGGGTCGAAGTATTCTGAAATTCTCTATTTTTAAAATTTCGATTTTCAAGTTGGTATTTCTCAGAAATACGAAAAACGGCCATTTTGACCAAAAAAGCTGAGAAAATCAAAACAACGACAAATATTGTGAAAAACAGTCGTGCAAGAGACGGAGAATACGAAGCCTCTTATCGTGGCAGCAACGCACGATAAGACCCTTATCAGCGGATATTAGTGGAGAAGGAAGCTTCGGTGGGGAAGGAATATTCCACGGAACCCTCCCGGGACGCAAATTAGAAGAGATAAGAGCGTTATCGCAGGAATATTACGGGAGCGGAGGCTTGGTCCCCCAGAGACTGTTTTATGTGAAGGGACTGTATAAAACTGACTCTATAGCTACTTGGATGTCGTGAAACTTTAAATTAACACCGGTGTAACTTGATATTTTAGAATATGAGTAGCTAGAAAGGGGAAGGGAAACGGACTTTATCCTCCACGGTAATTATCCTCCAGGCGATATCCTCCACCAATATCCTCCATTTCTCAAACAGGGACTTTTTCCTCCATTTTTATCCCCCAATTTTATGAATTTGGATGTTCATGGTCAGCTGCATGAAAAAGATGGGAGCTGTGCGACCAGTGGTTCAAAAGTTATGACCCGAGCCGTAAACAAGCTCAAAATGAGGTCCAAAACTGACGAAGTTGCTTCAGTTGGCTTGAAAATTAACAAAGCTTGCTCGTAGAGCTTCCGGGATAGGCCCATTCGCTTCCTCGTGAAAAATAGGTCTTAGAACCACCTTAGATGAGCTTGCGCGACCCTTGGTTGAGCTGCAGGAGCGACTGATCGCCTGGAGGATATCGCCTGGAGGATAATTACCGTGGAGGATAAAGTCCTGTACCCAAGAGGAAAGGGTCAATCCATCTCCAATGGATTTAATATAGAACTGTCACACAAAAACATATTAAAATAGGTTGTTCGAGCCGTGTTTTTAATGACAATCACGTACTCTGAGGATCCGAGACTCAGCTATGTGGTTGTGTTCGCATGTAAACGAAAGCTGATCAAAAGTCGTTTGACTGATGGCCTAAAAATGGTAACTTTTTACTCTGCCCTAGACAGACCGGAAAATCAACTGGCAAGGTCGAGACGGTGAAAAGCGAGTAGGATTAAGGTAACTGACGCCTGCCAGTCGTTAATAGGTACTTTTTCTACGCTCCGTCGCTGTGTAGTATTTGGGCGAATGTTACACAGCACAGAATCTTTTTCGAGCAAGATTTGTAAGAACCTAAGCAGATGCACTGAGGAACCCTGAGCAGGCAGCGTTTCAAAACAGAGAAATATCCCTGGCAATAGAGGTTGCGAACGCCGCCTGCTTACTCGGAACAATAAATGACCAAATAACTTTCAACGAAATTTTTTTATTTGAAACACTTGTTATTATATTTTCTCGTGTCGAGTTGCGTGTTCTTATTGAACAAACGTAACCCGTATCGATTTTAATTGAAAATGACTTCAACACTTGTCATTTTCTTTTATCATTATCACTTCCATATCTAGAAAGTACCGAAGATTTTGACTGGAATACGTGATGAAGGGACTCCTGACTGTAACCTCGGTTACTATGATACTTTTGACCTTCTGATTACTTTTTAGTGCATGGACCGTCGCATGACGAAAGGGCATATTTTATTTGACACCTCTTTTGAAGGGCTTTTCGACTGGTTTTTGACTGATTTATCGTTCCATATAGAGAATTTTTCGATATCCTTATTTACTTTCAGGTTTATGTTTGTTCCTGGCCGAAAAAAGCGTAGCCCTTTCAGTTTTGTTCTTTATGAGGTTCAAAACCCGAATAATTGCGTTGTTGTGTTGTTTGATGATATTTGCACTATGTTTCATATTCATTCCCAGTGGAGAAATTCCTGTGCCTCATATTTACGCAATCACTCCAACTTATGATCATATTACGCAGAAGGCAGAGCTTGTGAGTTTGGTTATTCTTCTGCAAAGAATAGAGAGATTAGTATGGATTGTCGTAGAGGATAAAGAAAAGAAGTCACAGTGGCTTGCAGATTTTCTTGACGAGAGTGGTTTAAAGTAAGACTTTTTCCCGTAAACAATTTTGTCCACAAGGATTTTAACTTCTGGAGGATCTTTCATCTGACATGCTCAATTTCTTGAAAACTCAAATAAAGTACTATCACTTAGCTAGTAATTAGTTCAAACCCATTTCAGGTTGTAATCTGAACATATTCAAACAGTTTCATTTTATGTTATATCGACTTAGTCAAATTATTTTGCTTAATTTTGAGGGCAAAATAAATCCATGTGGGATTAAATTGCAGTTTGGATGGGTCGTAGTAACTTTTAAATTAAATGAAATTTTTTATCAACAGTTTTGATTTCGGCTCAACAGGTTTCGACCCAAAGCTTGTCTCATTTGTTGCCGCTCGGTAAATGATTTCCAGTTTTCAAGTTGTGTTTTTGAACTTCATGTGTTGCAAATATGAAGTTTTTGTAGCTGTGATTTTTGTCAAGTTATTGTTTTTAAAGTAATTTAAATTTCCGGCATAAATTTTTCAGATTTTTTTCGATTACTGTTTTTTTATGCACTATTTTGTAGCGCAATGTGTTTTTGCATCGCAAGTGTTGCTGCGCTTCGCCTCCGTGTAGACTAAAAGCAGATAAACAATTCACATAACAAAACTGTTAAAATGAAAAGCGTAATTCAGGGTTTAATTGAAAGCTTGAAAAGCTTTGTTATAAATATCAAACAATTTACGCTTGTTTATATATTCAAGTCAATTTTATTTTAACTGTTAGACATTGCCTGTTATGGTAATTTCATAGTGTCTACCTTTCCCTGTTAGATCTAATACATATCAGCCAAACAAAATTCTAGAAGGGTTAAATCTCTAAAAATTTGAGTAAATTGTTTAAAATTTATTTTTAAGCAAAGATTTTGGGTTTTATATAGTAAAAATCACGTTTCTTGACTATCAAGCAAAAACATTTTCTCTTATAAAGGTTTTTGAAGATTTAACTCTTGTAGAACTTTGTTGATCTGTGTAAGAGGCTTCTTGTGATATATATTCCTCATCAATTAACAAAGTAGTTTCAGCGTAATTTTTGATTAATTGGAAAAAGCCAAAATGACCCATTTTTGGGGTAAAATTTTGGTTGAGAATTTTGAAGAAAAATTAAACCATATTAATTCTGATGAAATTCTGAGCAACTTTTGTTCCCCTCTTTTTTGTCTAATCTTAACCCAATTTGAGAAAAACGCGTTTGAAAATTCAAGTTTTGTTCGTTTTGTCCGGATAATTTAAATCAGCACTGTATTAATCCTGTTTTTAAATATGGTTAAATTGAGTCTCATATCACCGTCTGCGTTGCCCATTGACTGTCCTAAGTTTTATTAAAGCTTTTATTTTTAGCTTTGTTCATTTAAACGCACCTACGCCAGACACTTTTCGTAACGAGAAAGTGAATGGGAAACTTTACATGCCGAAAGGCGTTGAGCAGAGGAATGCAGGGCTGACGTGGTTGCGAACTCATAATGTGTACGACGGTGTAGTCTACTTCATGGATGATGATAACACCTATCACCCTCGGGTGAGTCATTGAAACACTCCAAGCCCAGTTCTTAAGTTGAGAATTATTACCTTGGATGAATACTTGCTAATTGGAAAATAGCAATTGGTGAAGCTTTATACATCGTTTGTTGTCTATTTCTGAAGACTGGCCCAAGAATTGTTTGAAAATTGAAGGTTATAATCAAAAGTCGAGTTGTTCGGAAAACAAAATAGTTTAATTTAGATGTTCTCGAAAAAGCATTATCAGCCCTCCTTATGATTTTTTTGAATACTTATGTTAGCAGTATTGTCGAAAACGCTGTGTTTGTTTGTGTTCCACGAGTTCGGCCTGACCTTTATATAAAAAGTCTCCATTTAATATTCAATTGTGCTATAGGTTTTCGATGAGATGAGACACACTAAACGTGTGTCAATATGGCCTGTGGGATTCGCCGGTGGGGCTTTAGTGGAATCTCCTGTCGTTGGAAGAAACGGAAAAGTGGTCGGATTCATCGGTGGTTTTGCCAAACACCGGATGTTCCCGGTGGATATGGCCGGATTTGCAGTTAACGTTGAACACATACTGAACAGTGATGCAGTATTCAGCAGACTAGAAACAATGGGCATCCTAGAAACGAGGTTTTTGGAGGACTTGGGATTCATTTTGGACGATTTGGAACCAAAAGCCGACAATTGTATGACGGTTCTAGCCTGGCACACGAAGTTAAGTCAGCCGAAGTTGAAATATGACGTTGACTGGAAAGGCGGGGAGGTTTAATTGTCTTGATATTCTATCCTCCAGGGTTTGCACATGTGTAATGCAGAATCGTACTGAAGATACTAGAGTTGAATCAGAAAGAGGGTCAGAATTGCAAGGCTTAGTTTTCTGATTTATATTTCTTATTTGAAGTGTTAATGAACAAGGTGCGAAATAAATTGAGTAAAATTTTATTTTCTTCAGGGGATCTTGTGTTAGATATCCTAAGAGTAGAAAATCAATTCAGTTGTTTTCATTCTGAAGATATTTATCAAAAAAAAAGTGACGATCGCATAAGTTCACCGAGCATTAAGGTGTCGTATATTTTAGTATGATATACGAGAAAAAACGTTGAAAAATGACTTCTTCAGAAAAATCAAACCTCGAGTTTATTAACACTTTTCATATTGTCTGTTGTTTGTAGTCTGTTTTGTCATCATGGAACTGAAATAAAGAAAAAGTGAGCAATTTTGAATCTCTGTATCATTATCAATAAACGTGATCAGTTGCATAACTAAATTTATTTGATAAAAGCTTGATAGCGATCGGGTTGTTATGCCTGTTGTTGCTGTGCTAAAGTATAATTGTAAATAGGTGCTAAATATTTTGTATAGTTAAATGAAATTTTAAATGGAACTCATCACTCTTTGATACTTTTTAACTTTATCACAACAAAATTAAAAATCAGTAGCCAGAATTTTTTGATTTCATCGCATTGTAGGCTCTTAGCATAGTGGTAAGGCGTTCACTTCGTGATCGCCATATCGTGTAAGCGATCCCGTGCCATGGCAATGATAGTCTGCGAGGACGAACTCTCGCTTGACTTACAGCTTCAGGTCTACCACAACCTGACCGATTTCGGCTGCAATAGTGGTACCACGTGAAAGTTTCTAGACGCAAAAAAAAAATAACTCAGTCTGGAATGTGGGAAATAAGAGAAACGGAGTATACATAGTCAGGCTGCAAAGCCTTTCATATATCCTTTGCAAATCGCAGAAACGACAGTTATTAATTGTCAAAGTCATTCATTAGTTATTTCCCTGCAGTTAACGCGTCTTTCAGAAGAGCAAATGTGTTTTGCTTCGTTTGATTCTGCGATCAATCATCCGCTAGGAGTTCCGACGAGCTGACTGAATTATGGAAAGCGATGATACGAGCGTACCAATGCTGGGTTCACAGACCACCAGCAGCAGCCGCGGTCGAGTGTCCCTTCTCAAAGTGCGACATGTCTCAATTATTGCAAGTCTACTACCAGCATCAGCTTTAATAATATGTGTTCTAACCTCTCTTCACATGCATTTCTATCAGACTACAAACACACATTGCAAAGTGAAGAACTGGCTGCCCTCTTTAAGTGCCCTAGTTGCTCTCCGACCGGAAAAGTATATCTGGAAAACAGCAGTGGCGCTGCACTTCTGGCCCCGCGTGATGATGATGGTTACGTATTTTCAGTACAACAGAATGTAAGTGATGTGAACGCTATTTACAACTGAGTGTCAATCAATAAAGTGATCACACTTTTTAATGCCGCATCGTTTGTTTTTTGAGGAAAGGACCTTGAAGTTTTATCACAATTTTGCGATTTGAATTAATTTTTAAATATTGAAATTCGTTCACTAAATGGCAGGCAAATTAAATTCTCATTTTGTGTTTGCGAAATGCAACATCTCTTCTGTGTCGCAAATTGGGTTAGTTTTATGTAAAATGTCAATCATAAAAGGCTTTTGTATTTGAAAAAGCTTCGATTTGATTTACTCTTTTCTTCGAAACCATATTTTTATGTTTCCTATAGTTCATTGACAGTTTTCGAAGTCATGTGCTGAAACAAATTATCCTCTCACAAAAACAGAACTTGAAGATGCAAATGGCGTGGAAAAACGTTTTTAGTATCAAAAAGAATCATCGTCCTATCAGTTGTCTGCTTAAGTTTTGTCGGCTTAGTTGCCACCTCGTAGAACTGTTTGTTTTATACGCAATTTAGATTGTAGTTGCTCTCAGTGCTTTGATTTAATTCAGCTGTTTGTAATTTCTCCACTTCGTTTTTTCGCTGAAAACTTTTTTCTGCCCAAATGATTTCGGTTTGTATTTTATTGGTTTAGTGAACTAATGTTTAGTCGTTTCACGTAAAAAGTAGTTTTTATGCTCATCTCTGGATCGCATAAACTGCTAAAAATTTTTTTCTGTTTTTCCGTTTGATTGGTTTCGGTCTATATTATATCGGCTCAATGGGCTCATATTGCATCTTTCGACGAGTGATAAAAATTTGTGCGTGCGTGTGTTTTAAGGTTGAGTGGGACTTAAAAATTTTCATTAACCTGAAATTTTTTCGATTTGTGTTTCTGCTTTTTGTCTTTGTATTTTCCTTTATTGGCTTAAAAAGTTTCGCCCTATATTATATTGGCTTAGTGGCCTCATATTGTTTCATTTGGCGAGCAAAAAAGTTGTGTATGTGTGTGACTTGTTAACTTTTTATAAGACTGTCTAGTTGATTTTTTTAGGCTTAAAGGCTTTCTGCTAAAGTATTTTTGATTTGTTACTGCTTGTTAAGTTTTCTTCCGATGCTGATTTGACTTTCTGTTGTCTTGGAATGTTTTTGGTTTTCAAAACTAGCCTGATTTATTTTAATAGATCTAGTTTTTTTTCACATTTTCGATTTTTTTTGTCTCTGCGTCTTTCTTGTTTTGTATCGCAAGTGGTGCGAAGCACAGGTTTGCGTCTGTGTAATTTTTTTAAATTCAATTTTGTCTAAATAGGCAATGTACTAGAATTTAACTAAGAATTAAGTATCAACCATTAAAGATTCTTGAAGTTTAATGCGCTTTAACGTGATGTGATGCTTTTGCAACCGTATGCTGGCAATGGTTGTTTCATTTTGCGTAAAAAGTAAGCTTAATTTGAACAGTATACCTCATGCCAAAATGGTTTATATTTAATAGTAAATACTTGATTTGTTTCAGGAGAGATAGTTCTTTCTGGTCATGGCTGGTGGAAATCATTTTCTTCTTGGAGCTAACCTGCCTCACTGTATTGACCTGTGTCACGAGTCTGGACAATTTCAGAGTTCACAGAAACAGTTTTTTTGCTTTCATTGCCTTTTCCACTCTTCACATGGTAGTGAGAGTGCATCAAAGCAGACGTCTTTTAAAAAGGAACTACATGACGTTAACGCTAGTGAAAAGAAAACTAATGATTACTGTGCTTTACTTTGTATCCGTTATTCTAGCTGCCCTAATGTACATCATGCATAATACATTATGTATTGCAGGGTTCTATACCTTATTTGCTTTATGTGAATACATAGTTGTCATTATAAATTTGACCTTTCATAATTTAGTGGCCTCTAATTTCTCAGATCATCTTTTATTTATAAAACCTGGTGAGCTATTCGCCATATCTGCTTAGAAGTCGGATCGGATCTCGTTAACATTTCCCACTGAGATTCATAATGAAGTTTTCGACCATTTAATTGTTAAACCTTGCAAATTTTGTACCTTGTTCTCCATGTTTTGCTAGGGGGTGAATCGGTATAGCTAACAAGATCCGGCCGATCAATGCATGGCAATATATCTATGTTTTTCGCAATGTTCTGACCACTTCACAAAGTGGGAAGGAGTGTTTTTTTTTGCACGCAGGGTTTCTATCATTCAAGGGTAAAAGACTAATTGTAATTGATAAAGACTTTTATAGCTCGTGATGATTTTTTTCCAACCATCGGCAAACTCAGCTATCGAGCTGCAAAAATGTAAAGCTAACAAAAAATGTGAATGACTTTTAGTTTCAAAAATGGATTCCAATTTTCTGACTTCGCAGCGGAGTAGAAAAAAAATTTGTTGATCCAGTTTTCTCTAAATGGGATAACATAAGAAAATCTGCCACCATAAACAATTCTTGAAATTCAAAAAACTTTGACGTGATATTATTTTCTTTAATTCGAAAGTTGAAAAATGTTCACTTAACTTCAGTCTTTCTCTCCATGAAAGCGGCAAAAAATAATAAAATTAAAGAACAAGAGTTGTTTTTCAAAGTACCGTTAGAATGAGAATATTTTGAACTGTTTGCACAGCAACTGGCTGCTTGTGAAATGAGATAGAAGAAATGAAATTTAGGCAGTGTTTAGTGAATTTTGCTGATCTTTTTGGCAAGCATAATCAAAGCGAAAGGTGCTTAAAATTAAATCATTCTTAATTAAATCATTTGTATATTTCATTCAGTGTACAAAATCAAACAATAGTCTGTAAATAAAAATGCGTTATTGTCTGAATAATTTGATACAGACAATTAATTGAATTTGAAGTCAGCGTTTTTCGCACAAAAAATTGAATTACTTGGGTATGCATAGGGCCTTCTTTGAATATCGTAAATTGAATTTCATGAAGCTCATAATTTCATCAGTAAATACAAAAACATTTGTTAGTTAAGGCAACAGGAGCACAATTATTTGACCAAGCAAATTTTTAGAACCCAATAAATACACGACGCCGAAGTCTTAATAATATGTCTGTGATTGAATCGTCTGATGATTCAATTGACGCTCTACGGCAAGCTCAGAAAACTAATCTGCCACCTTGGGAAACAGAAAAGGAAAATTTCGTAGTCAACCTTCAAATAGTATGTAATTCGATTTTAGTAAGCAGTGCTTTGGGACGTTAAGCTTGCTCTTTCCTTAGCTATTTGACGAAGCACGTTTTTTAAAATTATATTAGGATTTGATTGAACAAAGAGTATTTAAACTTGTTTGAGTCGCTGTGTTAGAATGTCGATTAGAATGAAGTCATAGTTTTTGTAGATGATCAATGGTATATCTTCCTGGCTACAAAGTCAGTTAGCTTCAAAATGCTAAAGGGAAGGTAATTTACGCTCGCCAAGAACAAGTGCAAATGTCAACAAAATGAAACTGGTTCCAGCTGTGGAAATAGCACCACTACAACCCTTTCGTTTTTGGGCGCGCAGAAAGCATGCTCGGACCGTGTTTTTGGTTTCGAAGCAGCCAAAGTCGGCTGTGCTGCTCCGTCTATTAATCCTCATTCTGCTCTCACGTCCCGGGATCAATCCCATACCTGTTCTCCTTGTAACTCAAGACATGCTCCCACACAATCAATTGTGTGGTGCCATATATGCGAATAGATCCACCTCAAACGCAGTGAACTTGCTAACTTAAAGCAACACCGTCGAATTTTTTACTCGCTTGTATAAATAACCACATCCTACCCCCTCCCAGTATCAAAAATCAACGTGTTAGAAATACTTTTTCCCGAGCATACAGCCCCCGACTAACCCAAGCATTCGCCGATATCTCAGCGACCCCCTTGCGTCTATTTCTACCGCTAAATCCCTCATTTTTTAACTTAATTATTCTGGCAAATCTGAGGAAACAACCGAAATAGTAGAACTAATGTACGAATACCAGGTACTCTTTGCAGTTTTCCAAGAAACTAAATGAACTGAGAAAAATTTGTAGTCAATCGTTTGGTCCGAACGAAACTGTAATAAGAAGAAATCACCCGCGAGAGTGAGGAGGCCTTCTAAATGACATACACACAACGCATATGAAGAATGAAAAGCAAACAATGGAGAATGGTATTATGACGTTAGAAACTCTGATTTTTACTATACTGGCAAATAACCAAAGCCTCATTTTAACAAATTTTTATATCCCCCGCGCAGCAGTTGCGCTTAAGATTATTAGGCCTCAGTGGCTCAACTACTCACAGAAGATAATGCAATCGTCATGGGACAGATTCATTCCCTCTCACCCCTTAAGTATCAAAACCTAGCTGAAGACAAAAAGAAATTACGGATTCAATTTTTACACCACGAAATAATCATAATCAGAACCGCTTGCCATTTGGTAACACTTCATCCTCTTCACCGGTTATCTCTCCAGCTTCATCATCTTTCTTGCTCTCTCTAACTTGGAAACTTCTTAACTTAGGACTCGGACCATCTTATAATTTGAATAAATATCCCTTCAACTGATTTCTGCATCCCGTTCTCTTCAAAAAAAAACTTTCATTAATCTTAATAAAGCAAACTGGAAATTTTTACCGTAAAAATATAAAAATTTTAAACACTGGTTTTTTACACGATGTAAGCAATGCTGGATATTTTAAGAAACATCATTTTAAAATCAGCAAAGAACGCATGGCGTCATGAAATTTTTACTCCGATTTTAAGCGACAAAACAAGTTGACAAAGGAACGATACAAACATAGACTAGAAGAACCATCACACCATGTCTTAAAGACTTTAAGCTGTAACCTTATAAAGAAAACTGCAAAAAAAAAGAAAGTGGCACAAGTTGATGACGTGTGGTGGCTCAAATTTCGCAGCAAGTAAATTTTGAAAATTAGTCTGCTCCCTTATCGGAACAATATCGGCTGCAGGGTATTCCCTATCTCTTTATATGAAAAAGCTTTAGAAGGTAAGATAAACAGAACATGCGTTTATCGCGCAATTTACTAAATTGCGAGCTCACAAATTAGACAAAGTGCAACGGGAAACCACGAGGAAATTTTTAAAATTAAGTTTAAACGAGCCACTATACATCTTACCATGCGAAACTGAGGCAGCTTTTAAAGCAGCAAAACGATCGAGAGCACTGGGTCCCGATGGCCTCCGGGCAAACATCTGGGCCACTGACTGTTGGCGTTTCAACGCATCTTCTAAACATACCTTTTTAAGTGAAACAAAATACCTCAAATCTAGTGGAAGAATTCAAAGATCGTTCCCTTGCCGAAAGCAAGCAAAGCTTCGTAAATCTTAGACTAGTACCACCCTGATTCAATTTTAAGTCCGGCAATTAAACTTCGAGAAAGTTTAATCCACCCAACTCTATCTAAATTTTCCCCAAATCAGTTCATCAGCATAGTTTTCGATCCCTACACTGTTGTTGTAGTTGCCTCTCGCCGGGGCCCTACATTGTGGGGTGTACCCCGGCCAGGTCAATGAAACGGGCGGCTTCCACCGGTTTTGTCCAAAGGGCAGTGAGGGGGAGGTCAGTGGGGTTTGTGGGGCACTGGAAGAGGTGGGCAGTCGTGTGGGGGGCTGTATGGCAGAGGGGACAGGAGGACCCTTGGTCTGGTTCGAGCCTGGCCGTACGACAACAGGTGTTGACTGTAGCCAGACCGAAGTTGGCTGAGGGTCCTCCGAGTACGTCTGGGTAGGTTCTTCTCCTCTCGGACGTTGACAGGAGGGGGTCTTGTACCGAGGACTCCAGACGGTGGATATGACTGGGTTGTCGTCGCCACCGTCTCTGTGTGCACAGTTTTCAGGAGCCGTCGGTACTCCTTCGTTGGTAGCGGCAGGTCAACGCCTTCGAGGAGGTGTTCCAGACGGGGGACATGGGCAGAGACTAGTGTGGGTTTCATTTTGCGGGGGGGGAGGAGGTTTCTCGAGGAGTCTCTGACCAGGGTGTTCGGGGAGGTGGCAAGCCAAGAGATGTTGTGTTGCAAGCATTGCCGTGTGGGCTTTCACCGGGAGCACCTGCGTCTCTTCGTGTAGGTGGCTTTGGGGGGCCATTAGATGGTTCCCGGTGGCGACCCGCAGAGCCGCGTTTTGGATGGTCTGCAGACGCTTGACACTGGTCTCGGATGCGACTGTAGACCAAACTGGGGCCGCGTATTCGAGACAAGGCCTGACCAGGGCTTTGAAAGTCACGAGTAGCGTTTCCGTGTCCTGACCCCAGTCCGTGCCTGCCAGGGCCTTCATGGCGTTGACCGCCCTGGAGGCGTTGGAGGCAGCGACCCTGCAATGTTCCCCGAACTTGAACATCGGGTCAAACCTGACACCAAGTACTTTGGGGTGTTTTTCCAACTTGAGCGGGATATCTGCCACCGTCAAGTGTGGTTGTACGTTGCATTCCTTTGTGTCAGGCGTGAGTAATGTTACAGCGCATTTTCCGGGGGAGAGTGCGAGTTTGAGGGGTTGAAAGTAGGACGTTAGGGAGTCGAGGTATGGCTGCAACTTAGCGGTGATGATATTGATCTTCGGCCCGCTGGCCCAGGGCGTCACGTCGTCTGCGTAGCTCACCACGTTGACACCCTCGGGAGGGGAGGGGAGGGAGCCAACGTAGGAGTTAAACAGAGTCGGTGATATGACTGAGCCTTGCGGAACACCTGTTCGGACAATTCTGGCGGGAGATGTCTCACCGCGGAACAGGGTGCGTGCTTGGCGGCCGGTCAGGTACCCTGAGAGCCAGCGGGTCAGCGAAGGGGGTAGTGAAGTTCTGCTCAATTTCTCCAGCAGGGTGCGGTGACATACCATATCAAAGGCCTTGGAAAGGTCTAATGTCACCAGTACCGTGCGGTCTGCCGGTTTCTTTTGGTTGAAACCGTCGGCGACCGCGCTGGAGATTTCGAGCAGGGCAGTTGTGGTTGAGTGGAGGGGGCGGAAGCCGTGTTGGTGTGGTTCTGGGGTCAGGTGGGATTGAAGTATTGGGAGGATGCAGGCTTCCAAAATTTTGACAGCGGGGCAGAGTAACGAGACGGGGCGGTAGGAGGACTAGTCCTGTGGGGGTTTTCCGGGCTTGAGTAGTGGTATGACAATTGATTTTTTCCAGATGGCGGGGATTTGGGACTTTGCGAGGGAGCCATTGAAAACTTTGGTCAGCCAGGCGACGCCGTGCTGTCCGAGGTTTTTCAAATGCAGTGCGTTTAGCCCATCGGGG